TGTTTATGTATGTTTTGTGTTTGTTGTAAAGAATAAAAAATTTTATTAAAAAAAAAAAGAGAATACAGTGGGCACTTTAGAAGGATGTGTAAAACAGGCTCAATCTCTATGTTTAAGCAAATACATACTCAATCTTCATACAGAAATTTGGTGTATCAGCCAGCTGTTACCCTAGTAGGAAGAGCATCTCTACAGGCTAGGGAGAAGACACTTCTATGTGGGGCATACAGAATCTTATAGAAGTAATTGGGGAATATCCAAGGTGAGAGAGCAACTTACCTGTAAGGGAGGTGGGAAAGTTTGGCTCTGTCTACCTGAATATCTAAATCCCATAACCTCTGCTTAAGTTCTACCAAGGTTTTTCTAAGCCCAAAGCAAGTAGAGCTGGTATTGACAGTCCACACTGTCTCAGATCTTGGTCTATTTGTTTTTTCAGAGTAGACTGATATATAGCATATGGATAATTTATGATTCAGTGTTTTGGTGAATAGTATATTTATTTGAATTTTTTCTTTGTTTCCTGATTATGCTTCCAGTTTTTTTTTGTTTTTTTGTTTTTCTATGCTTCCAAATCCCTACAGCAAGACAGATATACCCTTCACTTTCCCTCCATCATTGTTAGGAGTTCCCAACTTGCCAATGTTGTTTATATATTCATTTTAACAATATAACATCTGCATGCATTTTAATGGTATGCACATCTACAAAAATGTAAAGGATAATAGTAAACAAACATTGTGATAACTTCCATAGCAGAAGTACACTGCTACACAAATGCTTTTGATAGTCTACCCTAGTCAGTGTAATCATATTTCTTTATAAATCTGTACATAGGGATGCCAGGCCACAATCTGGAGATTTCTGTTGTCCCTTCAAAACTGCCAGATAAGCAGCAAATGAGTCTAGAATTCCTTCCAATTGTTTATTTCCCTGTTTTCTGCCAGCCTCCACTCCTGTCTGTTATGCAATACACCTAAAAGTCCAGTCCCTACAGCAGCTGGGAGAATATAGAGGGAAAAAAGAAGGGGAGAGAAGCCACAGCTATTTGTGTATCTTGTGGATGTAACTTGGCTGTAACACCTACAGTAGATGCTCAGTCAAAAGAAACCATCATGGACATAAATATGATTTAGGAGTATACCATTACAGCAGCTGGCACTTTATGGCAGAAAAGAAAATAGCACTAAGAGTTACCTGAACATTTGTATAAAAGTGTAAAGGCAGAAGCAGAACCTCAGCAAGTGCTATGGCCCACAGTTACCTACTGAGAAACAGGGATTCAAAATAAAAAAATCAGAGAATTTTGAAAGCTAGCTATCCAGAAACTGGCCTTTAATAGGTCCCCCAAATAGCAGTCTATCTTACACAAAGCCTGGGCATTGTAAGGGTGAAAATGTGAGCGATCTGCCTCTTAGTGTCCTCTCACTCCTCCTCTCCTACTCCTAATTTTGTAAAATATAATAAAATAATTGAGCAGCCGAAATTTGGCTGTCATATATTGGCAAGGAGAAAATCCATTTTTACTAAACTAAAGTGCTTTAGTCAATACTATAGAAGTGTGGAGTTGTGACTAGGAGCAGCTTATGATGCAGCTGGCTGCTGGCAGACTAATCATGCACAGCTTTGTGTTTGCAGTGCTGGCACTCACTAGTGTTGCCTTCACCACTGCAAGGATGTACTTCTTCCTATACCCATCCTTCTCTCCCAATTATGCTCCCCAGCTGTGGTGGGTGATTCCTGTTCCACAACTGCCACTACTAAACTACAATAGGAACTTATAGTAAGTTAAGTTTATATAATGAAAGGGGGCCTTCATTAGGCCAAAACTGAAACACTGCAGAGCCATTTTTTAAGATGCCCCATTTTCAGAAAACATATCAACAGATTAATTCTAGGCATTTGTTAATACACGGCTATTCTGGGTGTAGTGCTTAATATTTGTTGCTGGGTGATACTGCAGATAGCCATACAAACAATACCGAATACTATGAAAGAAAGTGAATCTTCAGAACTGATATTCTTGTAAACAAAAGTGTCAATTCTTCTTGGAAACTCTCCAGAGTTCTTGCCTTAATTAGATGTGAGAAATAAAGTTTAGCGAAGGTTGCCCATTTGAATCAGCTTACAGACAAATGTCTTGAAGTAAACTTATAGGTTTATTTGTCCACCATTAGTGGCTAAAGCTGATGAAATCAAGAAATGTATGATAGATATCTGAATATTATTTTCCCTCATAATGCCAGATGTTGATGCTTAATCAGTAGGGGTTGGGGAAAAACTCTAAGTGAGACTGCAACATCGTGCTAGCCAAATGGAAAATGTCTTGGTCAAAGGAGAATGGTTTATTTTCAACAACTTTCCAATCATTGTACAGGAGACAGGAGTTTCTACATCTCTTTCTACAAGTCTTGCAGAGTAGACCTGATCATTCTGCTCTATTTGGGGAATAAAATTAATCAAAATTATGCCTCAGCGTTGCATAATGCTCCAAGTACAACTGTTTCCATATGAAGGCTTCAGCTTTTTATTAAGCTTTGATCCAACTTCCTGCTATTATTAGGAAATGGCATCATGGAAACAAACATACCAAAATAGTTATACATTTTCTCCCATATACCAAACATGTACTTTCCCACAGTAGAACAATGCTTGGTACAATTTTGTAAAAGACTAAATGATTCTACTACCTGTATAGTAAATTGTAAAATCTCATTGGCTGAGAGAATATGATTGCATTAGCTCTTTCACATCCTCTCTTTGATTAGTATCGATCACAAATTGAAGAAAAGAGGCTCAAATGCAATTTGAAGTAGCTAGTAGAAAATGACACAGAAGTTACTCACTTGTGGTGTTTCCTGTCATTTGTATGATGCATTTGGAATCCTTGCTCATTTCTCGGGAATTGAAAGGACGCACCCTCACTGCCACCTTTACTGAGGCTCCTGCCATCCTGGTGAGCTGCAAATGTTTATCCTCTCGCTAGGATTTTACTCCTCAAAACACCCTAGAAGGAATGAGAAAGGTGTTAAGAAAGTATCACTTGAAGCTCAACATGTCCTCAAGCATGGTGGTTTATTGTATTGTTCAGATTGCTCTCATGATTCTTACGATATTGTTCTGTCTTTCTTATTGTAGAATGGAATCTGAGCCACTCAAAGTCCTATTGGATTAGAGCAGGACACAAGTCCTATTAAGTGTGGTGGAAATCACCCCAATAAAGCCAACCACTGGAGAGAATTCCAAACAGTGATTAATTCTAAAGGATTACAACAAGTCACTGGTACTTAAAGAAATAAAGATAATTATATGAAAATATTATCCAGGCAGGTATGCGCATGGGTCGGCCTACTCAGAAGGAAAATGACACTTCCACTACTTTTAAAAATGGCCACCAGATAACTTTAATTTTTTTTTTAATTCCCTCTTTCAAAGTAATGTTGCATGATAAGAGAGAAAGGACTGATTTACACAATACGTCAAGCCATAATATGGTTTGTATAGTTTTGGTTAAGCATGCTGCATGAACACAGCAAATGGTGGTTTACTCAATAAACCATGGTAAATGTCCACGTAGAAACTGAGAAATTTTAGTGAAGTCATTAACTTTCTTTAGTCCAAAACACAGGATATTTTTGCCTGCCAATTAGTAATAAGTTGTCTTCAAACATACGCCTACCCAAAATATACTGAAATGTCTCCAGAATGCCTGCAACACTACCAGTACTATATGTGTGGGCGGGTCCCCTTTTCGAGTAAAATTTCTCAAGTATTAAATATGCCAAAGCTTCATAGATAAGCCCTCCTCACCCTGGTGCCCTCCAAAGGTGTTGGAGTGCAGTTGCTAGAATCTTTAGCCAATCTGACCCTTTTCGGATGATGGATTGGAACTCCATCCCCAGTATAGGTAGAGGACACCAGAATTTCCTAAAGCGTAAGAACTAATAAAATCTTCTCCCAAAGATACTCATGCACCTTTGTAATGTATAGGATATGTTTTGGCAGTTAAAAAGCAAAATGTCCATTACAAAACTGATTAATCATTATGGAACAAGTTAATTTAGCAAGGAACATTTAACACGAGTCTCTGTGGCGCTAGTTACTTTGCAGATGCTCCCATGATCCAGTTTACTGTAGAGAACTCAGTATTTGTTGACTAGCCATGGACCAGCAATTGGGCAGAGGCAAGGAGAAAAAAACAACAAATGACAGGCTGAACAGCTTTAGGGGCCTCCAAAAAAGTTGGTCTGAGAGCTGTTTGCACAAAGCACAAAGGTTATTGACAAAGATGTCACTGGAATACAGCAGCCTTTGCCCTATGTCTTCTGAGGCTGTGCAAACAAGAAGGCAAAAAGTGTGTTTTCATGTATTTATTTTTATTCCAAGCTTTGAGGAACAGAAGCTATGTGGGTATAACTGTCATTCTATAAGAAAGAACAACCAATTCTGCCTCCCCGCCCCCCCGCCGCTCCAATAATTTCTTAGTTTAAAAAATGTAAATGGATCATAAACTTGAATTCTCCTTAACGTTGGCCAGGGTGATCTCATAACATTCCATAATTATATAAGACTGCTCAAAAGGAAGGAGAATACCGTGGAAAATGTCAGCACTCAGAAGTCTTTTTTCCTTACACTTTTTATGCTCTTTACAAATCTGGCATAAAATCAAAGAAAGCCTGATTTCCCTGCACATCTGAGTAACTGAGCTAAACCTCCAAGGCCCACCCCCAGATTTGTTTTCAATATTAATAATTCAGTGAGCTAAGTGAAGCACTCAGTTCAGCCACATCCAGCATTTTCTGTGGAAGGTGGGAAGTATCAGAGAAGCAAAGGAAGACTCCAAAGGGAACAACCAGGATATCTGTGCTGAAAACTCAATGGCTGCTTCCAGGCAGACCTTTTAATGTTAATGGACCATTACCAGACAATGTCATCATCCTTTAGTCATTAGGCCAAACTGTATCATCCTTTCAACCATTTTTCTCATTAGGAGATTAATGTGTTTAGGCACAAGGACTGGGAACAGAAGCACAGGTCTCTGAAGATATGGAACATCCACAGCACTTCATTTCCACCATTTGGGAAGTACTACTGAGTTCATGGTTTTTTCTTTTCTCCTGTCCCTTCACCGCTCCTTCCTGAACACCCATTTGTATCCATAGTTTTTAGAACGTTAACATTAACATTCCAGATTTTCCAAATACTGAAACTTCATTTGAAACTAGCTCCACATACTTCCTTGCAACTTGTCACCTTTCTAATCACAATATAAGAAGCATTTTCTCTATATATAGAGATCTGCCAATGAGCATTCTTTATAAAATGTTAAATTGGAAAATTGACATTTATTTGTGCATTAACGTCCCATAGTTATCATCATAAATGCTGTGTTTGACAATTTCATTGCAAACAGTAGTAACTTTCATTGTAATAAAAAAAAATGGTACATTGGTATTATAATAGAGGACTCAGCAAGGTGAAAAGCAACCATATATATTTCTGGAACTCTAGTATATAAATTTTTTTCACAAGAACACATGCAGATATATAGAGCACTTGCATATATGGTCACAACTATTACTGTGTTCTGGAGGACTGAACAGGGGGGGGAAATAATCTGAATATAGATACCCCACCATGATCTTCCCACTGGTTGGTGGATTATTGCATTTAACAGAAACTGCATGGAACTTGTACTACAATTCAGCATTCAGCAAAATATAGGCAAGAAAGAATGTAATACAAAATAACACTACAATCAAGGCAAGTAGACCATCAGGCCTCTCTTGGCTGACAAGGCAAAACATTGCAAGAATATATTACTTAGGTCATGAACACTCAGAAAAGTAGATTTATTGTAGCAAAACAATGAAGCCATTACAAAAGAATTATAGCTAATGCAAGTTCTATTTATAACATTTGGTGTTCAAATTTGTTGTACCTCCTTCTCTTGTACTTAAAGGCCCATCAACAAATCTCTTTTGGACAGGAGATACAATTTCCATCTTTTCTTTATTTTGGTAAGAACCTGAACTAGTATCAGGTTGTTTACTTTTGACCGCAGGAAGGCTAAATTTCATATCAGCCAAAATATGTATCCACAACTCTAAACTGTATGAGCCATCCTAAACTCATACAGGTAGTACTCGAGTTATGACTGCAATTGGGACTGGGATTTCCATCGCTAAGCAATGTGTTCATAAAGTGTGATGTAAGTGTGAGCTGGTTGCCAAGCACCCAAATTTTGTTCACATAACTGCAGGGCACTGCAATGGCCAGAACTTTGAGGACCAGTCATAAGTCCCTTTGCTCAGCACTGTCATAACTTTGAATGGTTGCTAAACAAATGGTCATAACTCAAGGACTACCTGTATGAAGCTCTACATTCCAATGAAGTACAAAACTGAGATCTTTTCTTAAAAAGAGTTGCTACAAAGGCCCTTTTATTCCTGTAATAATTGTTGTTGTTGTTCAGTCGTTAAGTTGTGTCCAACTCTTTGTGACCCCATTAACCATATT